GAGGTCAGTGGGAGGAGGTGTGAAGAGGGAAGGGGGCCACAAGGAGCTGCAGGCCTGGGGTACACAGAGGACCAGCAAGGTCCCTAACCAGGGCAGGCAGCGGGAGGTGGTAGATGACAGGCAACACCCAACAACCATCACCACCACCACTACCACCACCTCCAACCCCCTTGGTCTCCTTGGTGGGAAAAGCATGGGGGAAGGGGGCCTGCCACATTGCACACATCCCAAGACAAGCTGAGTGTGCCTGATGGACACTGAGTGATGGGGGGAGGGAGGAGAGGAGGCATTGATATTAAAGACAGTATGACCTCCAACTCTTGCATGATACTAATTTCCCATAATGACCTGGTCTTTGGAATCTAACCATGTTCATAAGTGAGGAGTGGGTGTAATTAACCAACTGGCATCATCAATGCCTAGTGCTTAAGGCATTTGACTGTTAACCAGAAGTCTGGCGGTTCAAACCCACCAGCCACTCCTCAGAAGGAAGGTTGGGCAATCTATTTCCCTAATGACACTGCCTCAGAAACCCAAAGTGAGACTTTATTTAGATTCCTAAAGCAATAGAATTCAAAGTAACAAAAACAACAACATAATAAAAGGAGAAAAAAAATTAAAGACATCTTTGGCAGCAAGATTTATGTGCTCTGCTAACTTGCAACAAAATGTTGTGTTTTTGTTCCTGTGTTTAGTAACACTTTAGAAAGAAAGATTCGTTAGTAAGACGATCTTACAATTAATTTTTTTCCCCCAAAATGAAAATGATTTCCTTTGCCTGGGAACACCTTTCCCCAGCACCAAAGTGCACCTACAAACACTACTCAGGCTGAGAAAGCTTAAGGATCTGTTTAAAACTGAATCTCTAACAGGCTTTTTTCTTCCATAATTTCATGGTTTGTTTGGAAAACTGCCTGACTATGACAGTGTATCATCTGGTATAATACAGCCCTGGCGTGGGGGGTGATTGTGGAAAGCAAGCTAGTTTTTTTGAACAGTGTAGGAGATAAAACATGAATTCAAAACCAAGCTAGAAAAATAATTTTAAAGAGACAACTAGTACACAAATAGGAATGCTATGTCATCAGCTAACTTTTAAAACACAAACTCTATGAGAAGTTAGGGAGCTCTGGTGGCGTAGTGCCTAAGGCATTAGACTGCTAACCAGAAGGCTGACGTTCAAATCTGCCAGCCACTCCTTGGAAAGAAAGTTGGGCAATCTATTTCCGTAGTGATGCTGCCTCAGAAACCCAAGGAGGGGTCACTATGAGTTGGATCCAACTTGACAGCAGTGAGTTAATGAGTTATGAGAAGTTAAAGTAGCAGTGAATTGCTTGTGTTCTCTGGCAATATTTGATGCTGAGGGAAAACCAGACCTTAATCCAAGGGTTTGGCCCTAAGAAGAGAGAGACCCCTTCCTTCTCTGGACTTTGAGCCTCAGACAGCTCCTGTTTTTGACTCCTGATGACAAAGCTGCAAACTGGAGCTGAAGCAATGCTTTTGAGTTCTATTTTGATTTTCACAAATGCCAACGATCCTTAAATGATAACAGCATTTCATTCTGCATTAACAAGGAATCCCATCAGCAGAGCAACCGGAGTATGAAACCAGAAGTTTTCTTGTAAACAGGGCTGAGCGCTCAACCACTGAGCCTCCAGGGCTCCTAAAGTGGCTTAGAATGCTGCCTCTTCTCTCTTGTAAGTCATGTGGATCCTACCAGCCCCGGGAGACCCTTCTCCACTAGGCCCTGGAGCCCTGGCCATAGACAGTGAGCTCCAGACGGCAGTGGCTTGGCTCCAAATAATCCACTAACCTCCCCCTCGCTCAATACTCCAGCCTGGTAATGAGTGTCCTAATATTGACTTGGGCTGATATAGTCCCAGAGAGTGAGGTCATAACTTCTCTTTGTAAAGTCTGGTAGGAAAAGAGAACGAATGAGAGCTGATTTTTAGATTTTTTTGTTTCCGTGAAAAAAAAAAAAAGATGTTTTTAAGATTCCTGTATCAATAACCACCCTGGAAATACAGGGCAAATGCAAAATGTCATCAATGGATGTCAAGGTGACATTCAGTATTCTGTTGCCATCTTAGGGTGGGGGCTGCAGGAACTGGCCCTTTAAATCCTCATTTCTCCGAAACACCCACTCTGTCAGAGCCTCTGTCAATTCATTTTCAACTCTCCCGCTCCCGGTTTGGGCCATGGTTCTGGGGAAGAGTGAAAAGTGCTCACCCCTTGGGGTTTGCCTGCCTTCCAGCCCCATCAAGCCTTGTTTATAGTAAGAAGGTCTTTACTCAGCATACTCCAAGGAATAGAGGGGGAGAGGCAGACCTGCCCACTTACCAGCTGTTCTGAGCATGCAGCAGGGAAAGCTTCTCTGTGTGGTCCAGACCCTAGGGGCCAGGTCTCTGGACAGGGTGGCCCTGGGCCCCATGAGCATCTCTGGAAACACCGTCAGGGCCTGACACTCTGCCCCTTCCTCACCCACTCTCCAACTGCCTTTAAAACTTGGACCTCATAATGTTCCCGAAAGTCCCTCCAGACATTCTGAGCAGAGCTCTTGTTCTTGCCTCTATGTTCCCTTTGCAATTTGTGCATCTCTCTGTTCTACAGCTGTGGCCACATGACATTTGAATAAATAATGATCACAGGTATCATTAATGAGTGCCAGGCTCTGTGCTAGGTGGGCTTTGTGCAGCATCTCATTTAATCCTCTCCATGGCTGGGGCAGGCAGGTACTGCAGTCAGCTCTATTTTATAACCATGCAAAAGGCCCAGAGAAGTGGAACGACTTGCCCAAGGTCACACAACGAGGAAGTGGCAGAACTAGGATGCAAACCCAGGTCTTTCTGAACTGAATACAGGAGAGCTCTCAGACACCGCTCTCCTCTGCAAAGCAATCTTTGGGAGAACAGTTCTGCTATGCCAAATGGGTGGGAATGCACAAAATCTGTGAAAAACTCAACAAGTCAGAAGGATTCGTTGGATAAATTCAATCAGCATGAAGCAGAACCATGCCCTAATCTGCTGGTGGGTGCCCCCTCCCTATCGCCTAGGCTGATGCTCTCCACTGCTCCCCCTCCATTATCCCTCACTGCAGTGGGCTTTGTGGTAGATGTTTTCTCCCCTCTGTGAAATGAGAAATGCTGTTTGAATAACCGATGGCGAGGGAGGCTGTGCACACTCTGATGCAGAAATAAAAACCTTTAGAAAGATGCAATTTGGCGGATATTGGAAACCGGAGAATGGAACATCAGTCTATAAAATTCAACATGGCCAATAAAGCTGGAGCAAGTGGTCAAGTGTTTTAGTGCTCACGGCTGCTAAGGCATCCCAGGCTTGTGGCTGGGCAGCAAGTCCAGACTGGACATTTTTCCTGGGCTTATTTTGGTCTCATTTCTATAATATGCCTTATAATTTCTGAAGTATCTCTGCATTCATGTCATAAGCACAGTTGTGAAAGTGTCTGGGATTATTTCCATCATGGGACAAACATGACTTGATAGTATCCTGCCTGCTCCAGTTTCCTGAGCTGCCACATTCATGAGTGACAGAAAAAAGTGGCACATTATGGGATTTCAGATGGCCTGAGCAGAGCCTGCAGGAGGCTAAAGCCCTATGCTCCATCACCACAGCTGTGACCACCCTGACGTGCACGTGTCTCATCTCTCCTACCCCCTACGCAGATTTGATGCCTGTTAGTGAGCCTGGAGCCCTGGCACTTTCCTCTTGGCATCCAGGACCTTCACAGTAGTGACTGCTCAAAGCCTGTTGCTGTCCGTGTTGCAGGCATTTGGCAGGTCTCTGTCCCAAGCCATCTCTTCTCCTCCCTGCCTTCACCTAAAGCAGGCCTCTGACCTTGTGTAACCCCTGGTGGGGTCTCTCACTTCCAGTGTCCCCAGCTCATTCTATACGGGCCTGTTTGATCTGCCCACATGCTGCTTCTGCTATCTAACCATTTCCTCAGTTATTCACAGGTAGGCTATTTTATTTCAGGACAAAAAATACTTCTACAGATTGTGGCATCTACTTTTAATTGGGGCCATACTAACCCAAGACTTTGCATTCTAACCCTCACATCTTCAGGTGTCTGTGAGCCACTGAGCACCTTCCTCATGAAGACACTGTGTTAGGTACTTAGACTACACCAATGCATAAATAGCCACTGCCCCGTTCCCGTGGTACTTACAATCTAGCAGGAGACTTTGTCCTCTGACTCTACCCTGGCCCTGAACCTGGGTCCTTTGGACCTTACTCCATGGACATGCTCTGATGTGCCTTGCTCAGAGGTTCTCTGTTGTTGTTGTTGTTATGTGCCGTCGAGTCAGACCCAACTCACAGCGACCTCTCCTTGGGTTTCCGAGGCAGTATCACTACAGAAGTAGATTGCCCAACCTTCCTTCCGAGGAGTGGCTGGTGGGTTTGAACTGCCAGCCTTCTGGTTAGCAGTCAAGTGTCTTAGGCACTATGCTACCAGAGCTCCTCAGAGGTTCTCTAGACAGGCCAATTACAGAAGTATTTTCCATCATGCCAGGGTTTGATTCCCTACTATGCTAAAAACCACATGTGCTCATGTCCACCTGGCCATATTCTATGCACAGAACAGCTTCCTGATTCACGGGACTCTGTCCAGAGAAGTGAATGTAGTCCCTATCACAGGAGCCCACCAACATAAGAGACCTAGATAGCACCTTGCTTGCCTGTCTGATTTCTAATGAAAATATGTTCTGCACCAGCCAGGGTTCAGTTTGACCTCCCTGGATTCTGTTCTCAACAGGCTTCCTCTAAGTGGGGAGAAGTCTTTGGAAATGGAATGCAAACAGAACGAACCCCAGTGAAATGCCATTGCTGCCATTTTGTTAATATGTCAGTCTTCATCTCTCTCTACTCTCTGTATGCATTTAACCTGTATGTAGACTCAGCACCCAGGTCATGGGACCAAAGGGCATTAGAAGATCCATTACAAAACCCCAAAGCATAGAGGCAAGGAACCATCGTCCTACCTTTAAGGAAGCAGTCCTTGCTGTGGACAATGACGATTTTCTTCTTCAACAGACAAGCAGCCCGGTGAAGCTCACAATGGTTTTCATAGAACTGCCCATTGGAGCCACACACAGGCATGTAGCTGGGCCTGCATCTGTCCAGGCACTGGCACTCTGGCTCCCCCGTCTCTCTGTTGAGTACACACCGGCTCCCACGGCTGCAGAATTTCTTCCCACAGGAGGTCAGCAGCCTGCCGCCAAACTCTGCCAGTAACACAAACACAGATGGTCAGCTGGGAGCACTTAGGGGTGGGTAGGAGGTTATAGCCTGCCTTTGTGGTTCTTTCAAAATACTGACCAGCAAGGGCTCCCTTTGCTTATAAGGCCAAGGCTGCCTGGAGGTGAGGGCTTGGGGTGCCCGTGGAGCCCTTGGCCCTCCAACAGAAGATAGCTAATGGTGTCAAGAACAATGCCCAGCATGCAGGGCTCAGGTTTCATGGCTGGATGACACAGAACATCTCAGACACAACCCCTTCCCATCCTGGGAATTTAGCTGCTGCTAAAATCTTGGGGGTTTTTTTAGGTTTGCTTTTCCTGCACCAGCTAAAAACTGAAAATACCAGCCATTCTGTGCTCACAGAGAAGTGCCTTACACTGGAGGACAAAGCTTGCTACCACTGTGCCCAGGCCCTGAAACAACCTCTTGGACTGAAAACCTGTTAAAATAGCAAGATTTTTTTTAAAAGTGTGTTCCTTCCTCCCTCTTTCCTTTCTGACTTTTTCTTCAAATGTTTATTGCATGATGACTTTGGGCCAGGCTGTGTGCTAGGTGTTGGAAGTCTCAATGATGAACAAGCCATGCCTCTCTCTATGATCTTACCATTCCATATACATGCATGACATACAACTCTGACCTGAGATGTAATGCAACCAGGGCCATGAAGGAATGCCAGGCAGAGAGCTATGGGAGCCAAAAAAACCACTTTTTTTTTTTTTTTTTTAAGAAGTAAATGGAGGACTTCATGGAGGTGGCAATGTGTCATTGATCTTTAAGATGGAGAGGAGGATAGCTTCCTAAGAAGCATAGAGGGCTTAAGGTCAGGCTCCCATAACTGCACTGCAGGAAGCATTTTGAATGCCTTGATGTGAGCAGGAGTTTTGCACAGGGGACTGGGAGTGGGGTGTGAGGAGGTTTGGTACTAGGTGACTTAGAGAGTAAAGTAGAGGCACTTTGGTCTAATGTTGTAGGCATTGGATAACCATTGAAGAATCTAGGGGGGAAGTGTGGGGTAAGAAGAAAGTGGTACTCTAAGTGTTCAAGATAGGCCAGATGTTGGTGCTAAAGAAGGGGGAGTGAGTAGCCAAGGCAAGAAGGCCAAAGGTAAGCTTTTGACCCTGGGAAATGTTCTCTGTGACAAAGACCATCAATGTTGGCACCAGCAGCCATTCTCCACTGCACAACCCTTTCAGCACAATGCTGCAGCTGCGGGCAAAGGGCAGAGGCCCTGGAAACAGCAGTGCCAGGTTGCTCTGGGTCTCACATGTGTTATATTACTTGGGTGTCCCCTTCCCCCGTACCTAGCAGAACCCACAATGATTCCAGGCAGTTGGTGGCCAAGTTCACATATCAGAGGGCAGCACAGCTGGTAGGGTGGCTCACTTCTAGAAATGAAGTTGAAACAAATGGCCAGATAGGCATCGATAACCAATATCGATAGAAAGTTGAGAATTACAAAGGGATATAAAAAACTAAATAATTAAGACGTAGATGCCGACTACAGAACATTTTGCTTTAAGTTTTAATTAAATCATCTTCAAAATACTCAGCAAGACAGAACAGCTGCCAGTCAAGACTGAACTTTTACCCCAGCTCCTACCCCATGGGATTAAAATGTCCAAGGGGGAAAAAATTCTTCTTCTTCTTTTTTCTTTTTTTTTTTTTTGTTGTTTTTGGATAAGTCTGCTTTTCATCATGATAGATTTGAAACGAAAAAAAATCAGTTATCATCAGATTAACTACTTGATTCAATAACTCATTTACATTCCTGCAGCCTTGGCAAGCTAAGAAATATTGACTTTTTCTTGAATCATAATAAACTAGAAGGTCAAAATCTCTCTGAGCAGTGTGAGAAGTGCAGCTCCTAGGAGCATGTGTGAATCTCCTTTATCCACTTTGCTAATTGTTTGCATGTCACCGTGAAGGCTCAGTGGCATCAGGGAGCTCCCCTGCAGCATTTCTGTCAACACTGACAACAGAACTGAAGGTCTTGGCGGTGGGAGACTCTGGGCTGGAGGCTCCTGCCCCCATGGTGTGCATGCCCCTTCTGCTGGGGAGTGTTTGATTAGCACGATTCTCCTGGGTGACTGGAAAATGGGTTACCCTGGAAAGTGCTGGCGGCTACTAGAAGAAACTAATACAACTCTAAAAATAACAGCTTTTGCTTCTTTCCCAAGCTAGGGCCAGGACACAAAGCATTGCCATTGGTTCACCGTTTTAATAAACTTCTCTGGTTTGATCACACCCACTAATCATCCCAGTTTTAAGAAATAGAGCCAGTCTTTGAATGGCTGGCCTCTCAATTCCTGCCTCTAGGCTTTCCCTTCTTTGTGCCACGTCCAGACTACTCTCTGCCTCTGGCCAACTCAGTTCCAAATCTCCCTTGAGGTCTACTTCCTCTGTGAGGCATTCCCTCTCTGAATCCCCTGCTCTGGGAGTCTCTGCTCCTTGCTCTGGCCTCTGGAGGCTCCACAGGTGGTGGTCCTGCACCAAGAAGGACCCACTTGGCTGAATAACCAATTCAATCTCAATACACACAGGTGTAAAGAAATACAATCGTTGTAAAACCTGATCTCCTTAGCCTTAATTTAGTGGCACTCTTCTAGCCCCAGGTAGAGGCCGAGATGAGGAAGGTGGTGGGAGCTCTTTATGGAGTGACCTTCTGAGGGGTACATCTCCCTTCACCTACTCCCAGGAGGACAGGAGGCAAGCTGGAAGGGTGGAGGCATGACAGGAAGACAAATGTCCACGGATGTGGGGCTTCTGGGGCAAAGGTAACTGGAATCCTGGAATGGTGGAGCAGGAAGGAGTTTCAAAGACCACCTAAACCAGTCAAACAAAAGCCACCTCAGTGGACAGTGGGAGAATCTACTTGACCCTTCCTCTTCTAACACACCCGCATATCCAGATGTTAGCCAATAACTCTGAGGATCACCATTAAATGATGTACCACATATGCCCACTTTGATTAGCTTGCAAGTAACTTGAGGATTTCCCCATAAGCTGTGCTCTGAGGGTCAGTGCTAGGAAAACACCTGTGCAACTCATGTTTGTCAAAGTTGTCAAGAGCGCTCAGGTTCTCTCTGATGTGGAAATCACTTTCTGCAAATGTTTGGTTCTTAATCATTTGCAATTAAGACAAAAGCAGATTAAAGCCTGTGTATGCCCCTCATAAAGCCCAGTGACAGCAGGATCCATGAAGAACTGAGGACACTCTGCCCTGCCCAAGGGCTCTGTCAGGCTATCAGGGGACCCAGAGTATCATCCATGTTCACAGAGACACTGACCATGGGGTAGCTTCCTTATTAAATGAGCTCCTTGTTATTAAAAATAACACCACTTTTATTAAAATAAAACGAATTTCCCACTCCTACCAACATGATGATAAAATGGTAATGGAGAAGGTACCCAAGTGAGACTATCAGTAACTGCTGACAGTATTTATGAGGATGACCATGATGCATGAAAAAGATATAATGTGCTTAATTCATAGTCATGAAGAAAGCCATTTACCCAGGTTAAAAACTGATCATCTTGCTAAATAAGCTGCTTTTCAACACTAATTAAATTCACTGAATACGTTCAGAACTGGGAATTGTCCCATTAAAGTTATGGCACCAAGAGAAACAAGTCCATTTGTACTAGTCAGTGTCAAAGACTCCCTGTGTGATTCAAGAAAGGACTCTTGACATGGCTGTCACAGACTGTGATTGCCATAGATTCAGAGCTTTGGCAAAGGTGGTCAGTTTGTCAGTTTAGCCAGGATGGAAGTCCAGCCTGCTTGTCTCCAGAGGAGGGTGAATCCCAGAACATACCCAGACAGAGAAGGCAGATCTTCGTTACTCACTGGAGCAGGAAGCTGCCTTCTTTGCTATCTCATTGAGACCACTCCATAGAGGTGACCACTCAAGGCACAGGCAATTGGCCTATTTTGCTTCCAAACTCCCTCAGTCTCTGCAACTGGTTCCTTGGCAAAATGTACACCAACTAGTTCTCCCATCTCAGGGATCATGACCCAGATGACAGATGTGGAGAAATCCGTAGCTTTCCCACTCAGGATGCTAATGTCTGCAGGCACGTTTTGCTCAATGCAGCATTTCTGCATCTGAAAGCTTGTCCTTAGCATGATGACTGAACAGAAGAATCCTGCTCTCCCTTACACAGCTTTGAGAGGTCCCACTCCAGATCTCAGTCAGGGGAACTGCCTAGCCCTCCTGCAGGCCCTGAGTCTCCAGCAAAGGACCTGGGGCTGAATTCTCACAACCTCATCCCACCTCACTTTAAAGCCACAGTGAGGTGAAGGCCTGGCTTTAAAGAGGCCACAAACCCTGAATATGTGAGAGTGAGTACAGGAGAGCTTGGAAAATCAGGGTCACAGGAATGCACAGTTCGATGAAGCAGCTACCCCATGCTCTGGAAGTCTCATCTACCATCTGCCAGAAGTACCAGCCTGCCACTGCAGTTGCCTCCAGCTTCTGCAGATAGAAGTCATTTGTGCAAGAACCTAGTGCCTGCTCATTAGTACATATATATACATTTGATAGGCTCTCTGGTGGCCTAGTGCCTAAGGCATTTGACTGCTGACCAGAAGGTTGGGGGTTCAAACCCACCAGCCACTCTGTGGAAGGAAGACTGGGCAATCTACTTCTGTAAAGTTTTACTGCCTTGGAAACCCAATGGGGGTCGCTATGAGTTGAATTAGACTCAATGGCAGTGAGTTTTGTTTCGTATACATTTGATTATAGACTTTATCACTATGCATTGGTGCCAACCCAGCAGGGTGCTGCAGCTCTTGCCTTGTACCATGACTGGGCTTCTTAAAGACTTAGGGCTAAGGACTGGCCTGTGGAAGAGCCATGTGTGTATACAGGGAGCATATATGTGGAATGTATGATTCAGGGGTAAATGGTAATGGTCCCACTGCCCTGGTCCCCTAGGACAACTCATATTCCCAGATATGTCTAAGGTGGTCTT